AATCGAAGTCAACAGCGAATACAGAATCAACTCAACGAGCATCAGCTGCTACAGCCGTGCCAGCAGCCAATATTTTCGGTGCTGCGAAACCTGTAGATACCACTGCCCGTGAACGAGAAATAGAGGAGCGTCTCGCCAAATCTTACGCGGAATCACGATCCCGAGAAGAAACGTATGTATACAAAGAATGTTTTGAAACTATTAGATTATATTGTGTTACAAGATTTCTATTTCTCAACATCTAAGTGATTCTTATGTATTTTTAAGATATTTCTCGGAGAAATTCAGTTTCTACAGATTTTTTTAAAATTTGGGTATTATGTTTAAAATAATTTTATCTATAAAATTTCAAAGATTCTAACGATGCCGGAATTGAGATATTCACCTTCAAGTTTTAACTTTTAACACGTAAACTTCTACATCAAGCCTTGTCGAAGTAACGTTTTAATACTTTTTGAAAAAATCTTCTACAGCTTAAAAAAAAAAATAAATATGTAGAAATATCATAGAAAAAAATGGGGAGACTTGTTTCTGAATTAGAATAGTAAATTTGATGAAATTCTCCTTCTCGCACGCCGAGCGGCGAGACAGAAACATGCTGTTGCCACATTTCAACTGCCTTTAGTGCGGACTAGTGTGCACACAAATATGACATATTTATGTGTGTATGCTCACCTCAAAAGTTTCTCTCTTCAGAGAGCACACGCGGAGAGGTATATTCATAGGCTGTATGCGATTAACTTTTTAGCGTGATTATAGCCAGAGATATACCTTAATAATTGAAAAAGAATATACATTAAAAAATTCCATCATTCATGGATTTCGAGAAGTCAAGGACTTTATTTTTGAAAATTATAAATTTTAACAATTGACAATTTTTTTTCTTTCAGTTAATAAAAATTCTATTTTTGGTCAAAGCGGACTTTAGTTTAATAAATACTAAATGTAAATATTAGGGATGCACCGGACATCCGGAAAGTATCCGGTATCCGGCACTTTTATTATCCGACTGAATAGTCGGATATTATTAGTATCCGGGAATATATTCGGTTGAAATTTGATGTCATTAAATTGTTGATTTTTTCTTATACAAATGTTCTAGAAATATACATCATGCTATAATATCATGTACATTGTTGGAAAATTACATTATTTTTCTTTATAGACTTCTTTTTTAGAAAACACTTTCTCGGATATTCAGTCGGTTATCGGATATCTGATGTTACGTTCTATCCGAATATCCGATATCCGGTATCCGATAATTTTACAATCCGGTGCATCCCTAGTAAATGATATTTAAGTCTTATGAACTGCGCACTGATAAAGTCGGACTTGAGTAATGTAATCGCAAACTGAAGCTGAAATTAATATCTCACATTAGATTGATCGTTCATTTTAATAGTGAAGCTAATAAGTATCTTTAAATATCTTTAAAAATTTGTAAATTATTGCGAAAAATATTATTTCAGGATTTGAACTTACTCCCAATTTTCTGGGCGTCATATCAATTCGACCACTAATGCCCATTTCCGAAACCTTTTAAATCAGTGTAATAATTTTTTAATACTTCTACTTATAATCTTTTTACATTAAATATTGCCGATAAATTTTTTAATGTATCACTTAAATTGTACATGATAAAAGAAGCTTTATACTATCATATTTATTTTTATATATTATAAAAAATATTATAAAATTTAAATTGCTTTTAGTTGTATATATATTATAAATTTAATTTTTACTATTAGGTGTTGGAATTAATTCGTAGCGTTTTACAAGTGATGGGAAGTACTTTCATTAATGTATTTTTTAATGCTCATGTGAAATAAATAACATTCTTTCATTTAAAAACGCTACGAATTAATTCCAACACCTAATACATTAAGAAATTCAAAGCAGAGATTTTTAAAATTGAAGGATGATGAAATTTTTTAAAAAGTATATCTTTTCAGTATAGAAAGTCTTACAAGAAATACTTATTATTTATTAAAAAACAAAAAGTTGATTCTTTGTTGTGCTATATTATTAGCGCGAATTGTATCATTTCATTATTTATTGTTGGATTTTATCAAATTAAATTGTATCACTTTATATAAAAAATATTACATTGTATTTTTGTTAAATTCGTAAGAATGTAAAATATGTTTCTACTAAAAATTTTGATGTTTCTCTCCAGAGATATTAAGGAACGTAAAGACGGTACTTGGGGCCGACGTAATGGGGTAAGTATTTTATATAATTCATATTGAATATAAAAAATGTATTTATAATTGTAAAATGTCATAGATTGAATAATTTTCATTTGTAGGAAGGACGTGATGACAAAGAAAAAGAAAGGGGTCGGCCGGCTTGGCGATCAGAAGAAGACAGAGGTGCTCGGCTTGAGAGATCCACGCCACGTTCTCAACCAACTCCCACTCGTGCTGGTAAATTTATTTCGTTTTTGTTTTTTAAACAATTTTACAAAATTTCTCTATTTGGCATAAAGACAATAAAAATATGATGTATATTTTTTAAGTAGAGGAACAAAGTGGATCCAAAACATCGCCAGCAACATCTCGTTCTGGATTATCAACATCCAAAGGATCTCAGAAATCCGTTGAGAAGGATACTCGTGCGGCAGAAAGGTATTTGTAGAAAAAAGTACAGAGAGATATTTTGTTTCACAGAGTGGCATAGATATATAAAGATTGGCACTTATTTATATTTTACTTATTACTTGCAGGGATCGCAAAGACAAAGAAAAAGATGAAATCAGTAGAATGCCGAAGGCTAAAGATGAACAAGCTCCAGTGAGTAAAATTGAATAATACATACATACATCCATACATACATACATACATACATACATACATACATACATACATACATACATACATACATACATACATACATACATACATACATACATACATACATACATACATACATACATACATACATACATACATACATACATATATACATACATACACACATACTAATATTACAATCTTCTTTTTTTTTTTAAAGAATTTTGTAGCTTCCAACAAATATTCCATGCTACCTGATGATGTGGATCCCGACAATATTGATGAATAGTCTCAAATGATTACAATTTGCATCACACATCTAAATTGTGCCACATGCAATACATAATTATGCGTATAATATTTGTTTTACTTCTATTGCATGGATTCGTCGTAAACCAGGCGTTGTGCTATTGGTATTACTTTATTGGAATTATTGTTGATTTGTATTTAATCTCTATTTTAATATTCTCAATAATATAACTCCTATATTTCTATATCAACTTATATATTTACTTTACATTTTGGTACGAAAAATTTTGGCGTTGTTAAATCGCAATGTCGTAAATTTCTCGTGATCACAGAATGAACAATTATATCAAACTTTTTTGTATAATTCCAAGAATAATTACACTGTATATGAAGTGTAGCAATTTGGAACTTTATATATCATACTTAATCCACTGTACAGTAATTGTACGATATGTGACCCATTTACATGTAATATAACAATGCCAATATAGAAGGAAATTAAAATAATAAGTATATGAGAACACAAATATTACTTCAATTCTTATTTCTCCTCACATAAATCCCTTATATTTTTACAAATATTTTTTTATTGTTGATTTCAAATTATTTTCAATGTATATAAATATTTAAATAAATATAAATAAATATAATAATTTATAAGTATAATAATATAATGATATAATTTATAAGTGTAATTTATTTATACTCATATAAATATATTTATATTTATATTTATATAAATATGCATTTATTATATACAAATAATATATAAAAAATAATATATCAAATATTTTAAAGATATTAACAATTTATTAAATGCGTCTTTGATATAAATATAAAAATATATAATATTAATAAAAGCACCTTTAGGCCGGAATCAAACTACTTGAAATTTGACCAATGAAAATAAAGGAATTTTAGCTCCTATTTTGATTGATCAAATTTCAATCTTTCAATCTTCAATGTATAGTCTGATTCCGGCCTGAATTCCCGACATTCGGGATATCCAAGGAACTGTGGAGTTTGGACATTAAAGGCTTAAACACAATAGCACAGGTCAAGGATTACATGATATGCTCAGTTTATAAGCGTCTCTCTCTAAAATTAGTGTTCTCTGTCGTTCCTCTGCTTCTCGTTCCGCAAGGACTACAACTATGAAACGCGAAACATGGGGCAGTATTCATAGTCCGTTTTTATTTTAAAACCATCTTAAATATAATGCCTTAAGATGTTAATACAGTCCTCGGATTGACTTACATTTTAAAATTGATGTAAAGACAGTCTTAAATGTAAGAATCGACTATGAATACGACCTGTTTTGCGTCATAAAGTTGGTACTGAATCTTTTATTGCACGAGGGCTTACAACTATCATTTCAAGTAATTATTTAGAATTAGAATATCCCCATTATTTCAAATCTTAATAAAAAAATGTACTCATTATACGTATACTTATTATAAATGTACTCAATTTTCACATTTTTTGCAAATATTGCAGACTTGCTCGGCTTCGAATTCTTTACTGCTCGTTGTTCGTTCGGTTGAACTTCAATGAGTTGCGGCAAAATGTATTTTGCGTCGGAAGTGCGTCATTTCATGTAAAATTTTTAACCAATAGTTACGAATTGCTGCCTCAGCGTGCTGCGTATGAAAAGTCAGCTTTACTCTTCGTCTTTTTCTAATTTTTAGAACTAGAAAAAGACGAAGCGTAAATTGAATCAGATTAAAGTTAATCTACATTGGTGGAAACGGGCATAAAAGGTTACTGTTACAGAAATTTTGTCTGCGGTAGCTTTAAACTTTCACGTGCAATTTTGGCTACTCTACTTGCAAAATTCGAAAAATCGTGGCGTTTTTTTTTAGGTCAATTGCACATTTGATGAATTTTGGGGTTTTTTGGTGAATTTTCAAGCAGGGATTTATTATTTTTTATCCATGGCAATCCTGAAAAGTCATAGAAGTGAAATTCTCATTTTGCCGGGCTTTTGATAAAATCACGTCACGTTGCACTGCTTCATAGCTTTTTTTAGGATTTATCAATTCTTTTAATGTGTTTTGTTTGACTTTACTGAAGCCAATTATGCCGAAAGTAAATACAATACTTAATTATTTCACATCCCCGAAAACTATCAAAAAGTTAGAAACGGCAAAGGAAGAACGAGAAAAATCGCAAACTCCTAAGAGAGATCTAAAGAACAAAGGTTTGTAAAAATGTTTTTGATTGAAAATATGTTGCTTTAAACATGTATGGAGATAAAATTGATTATCTCATATATATATATATATTATATACATACGCATGGTGCTTTTCATTACCGTGATATTATATTGTACATATAAAATGGCAATTTAACTGACATCCACTTGTATATAATTCTAATCACAATTCTCTACTTGTCATAAAGATTTATGTATAATAATTAGAATTAGCAAAGCATTCACATAATTTATTCAATCATAATTTATTAAATAATTATTTGAATTATTTTATTTTACTGTACTTTATTTGTAATTTAAATTATTAATGCTTATTCTTGTAGTAATTTTATATACAGAGTTCCTGAATTTAAATAGCCAAACTTTGTAAGTGTGTAGGAAACTGATAAAGAATGAAAAAAGTCCTTTAGAGATATGCATATTTTTGTTCCATTTTGGAGAAAATCATGATAAAAGACAAAATTTCATTTTTACATTTATTTGTTACTTATTCGTTTATTTATTCATGTTGTCATCTTCTTAATATAGATATTGTTTGAAATATTGTCTCTTGTAGCAATGTACAAACATTGCATTTAGTATGGACAGTTTGCGTTGCAGCTAAACTGATCTAGTAATATTTTGTGTACTGCAGTCACAAAATTCAGAATACTATTGTTTTTGTGTTCAGCGATAATGCTTCAGAGGCAATGCAAGAGTATGTGCACTGATTTCCAGACAGAAGAATGCTAGATTAGCGAGTCATTATGTTGATCAGATCAGTGTTTAGCTGCAACACAAGCTATCCATACAAAATGCTCACATTGCTGCAAAAGGCTAACATTTTTAACAATATCTGTATTAAGCAAGTGACAAGAATAAGTAACTTACAAGAATAAATAAGTATGAATGAATAATTGTTTTGAACAGTTAAGTTCAAAACAAAGCAAAAACAAAAGTATATCTCTTAAAGGACTTTTTTCTTAGTTTATTAATCCTCTACATGCTCCCAAAATTTAGTCATTTAAATTTGGAATACTCTATATATATATATTTATTGTGCTACATTTATATGTAGGATTTGTTAAGAATGGAAAAGAAAACCAGAATACCGATGATAAGAAAAGATCATATAAGAAAGATACTGAGGAAGAAGAAGATGAACCAATAAAGCCTAAAAGACGGCGTCTTATTATTCCTGATGTTGACTCTGATGAAGATTCTGGAGATGAATTCAAACCAGGTTAGTTGATCGCATAATATTTCTTATCATAATTTTAAGCTAAGAAGATAGCAAGAAGAACAATATTACATATTCACTATTTTATGTATATTATAGGTTCTGAATCTGAAGAATCTGAATCAGTTTCTGAAGGAGATACAGAACAAGAACCTTCAACAGAGGAGGAGACACCAGAGGTAGAAACAATATATTTTAAACTAATATTAATATTGCCATGATAAAAGTTGTATCTAATATGAATATTTTTTCTTTTCAGAAAAAAAGGAAGACATCCAGTGTTAAATTCAAGTCGAAGCAAGCAAATTCTCGTAATACAAAGGCAGTAAGTATATAATTATAATTATTAATTTCTTTTATTTTATTTCTGTGTAATTCTTTAGCTATTCAAAATAATTGTCACATACTGCTATTAATATTCGTTCAACCTTCCTATTACATGTTGCCATGTAGAAAGATTACTGAATTTCACAATGTCTTTCTAGAACAAAAAAGATTTGAAACAGCCTTCGCAACCAGTTCAAAGTCAAATTATAAGCAATGGACTTAACACTGCACACACTTGGCCTCATTTGAAATTAGATTTCTTGCGTCCAGAGAAAATAAGAGACATACATAGAAGAATGCCGAACGATCCAGATTATGATTCTAAGACACTCTACGTACCCACTGAGTTTTTAATTAATCAAACTCCTGTAAGAGAAGTTTGTATTGTTAAATACTTTGCTATATATTAATATTGAAACCGTTACTCATTAAAAAATTTGTTTAGGCGATGAGACAGTGGTGGGAATTAAAAAGTAAGCACTTTGACTGTGTATTTTTCTTTAAAATCGGTAAGTTCTATGAGTTGTATCATATGGATGCAGTTATTGGTGTCAACGAGCTCAGTCTTACATATATGCGGGTAAGTCTATTTGTTGGAAATACGAGAAACTGTCGTTGAATTCATTATATATAATATTAAGTTATATACGTTATATATTATAGGGTGAATTCGCGCATTCTGGATTTCCTGAAATTGGATATGGTCGTTATTCGGCGAGTTTAATAGAGAGAGGATATAAAGTCGCACGAGTTGAACAAACTGAGAATCCAGAAATGATGGCAGCGCGTTGTAGCAAAAGTATGAAATTATATTTTGAAATATACATTTTGTTTCATGTGAAAAAACATATTCGAATGATACAAGCATTGGACATCCGTATTTCCTTGTTTACAGTGACTAAACCGACAAAGTTCGATAAAGTGGTGAAACGTGAAATTTGTCAGGTCAGTACCAGGGGTACGAGAGTATATACGCCATTGGACGTGGAAGCATCTACGCCAAACTCCAATTATCTATTATCCTTGGTCGAAAAGTGCAATTTCAATTCAACGATCAGCTCTTTTGGAGTATGCTTTATAGATACAACGATAGGTGAATTTTATCTCGGCCAATTTGTCGATGATCGCTGCAACTCGAGACTATTGACTCTATTGGCTCATCATCCACCAATTCATGTATGAGGTCATCATGATTTAAATATTGCATATATCTAATTGATAAACAAATGTTTTGCTTTGTCTTTTAGGTGATATACGAACGCAGTAATTTATCGCAAAAGACTCTGCAACTTATAAATAACACTCTACCGGCAGTGCTAAAAGAGCCGCTTCAGCGCGAGGCACAATTCTGGTCTGCTACTACTGTGCTGAAAGTTAGTAACAGATACTGCTTGGTATATTAAATTATAATATATATTAAATTTATATAGATAAGAAATTATTAGATATGTATATACATTAAATATCCCTCTCTTTTGTCTTTAAAGAAACTTCATGAAGGAAGTTACTTCAAAAAAGAGAAGGACTCGAGTTTTGCATGGCCTGAGGGTCTGAAACCGTATTTAAACGAAGGTAATAATTTCATAAATGATTTACATATTTACGATAATAATTCGTGTTAAATAAATCTTTTTTATTATGTATTAGGAGACAGCTTGGGTTTAACACCGGCAGATAACAAAGAATTAGCAGTACACGCACTTGGAGGATGCGTGTGTTTGTTGAAGGAGTTCTTACTCGAACAACAATTATTAGCGCAAGGCTGCTTCAATACATACATTCCGCCAGATTTTTCAACCGCGAATAGCCGTACAGGTCTTAATTATGCAAACAACATGGTGATAGATGCCGTTACGATAAAAAATCTAAGGCTCTTCGGAGAAGGTTCACTCATTAATATATTGGACCATTGTTGCACTGCATTCGGCAAAAGGTACATTTTTTATTTTGTGTGCTAATTTTTTCATATATTCTAAGCCAAGGATATGTATTTTTAGATTGCTGCGCGAATGGGTTTGCAGACCATCTTGTCGCAAAACCGTTATTATAGAGCGCCAAGAAGCTGTACAAGAGTTGCTGGATCGAATGGACGTGATGCAGTCGGCTCGCATAATTTTATCAACTCTGCCAGACCTCGAAAGACTTTTGAGCAAGTAAGTTGAAAGTTTATTAGGCAGAAATCTTCAAATTTCACTTCTAAAATTTGAAATATTAATATATATATATATTTCTTTTTTTATAATAGGATACACGCTCAAGGAAATGCTGCTAAAATGAAAAATCATCCGGAAGGTAGAGCCATAATGTTTGAAGGGCCGACATATTCGAAGAGGGTGATCGTAGATTTCACTACGACACTCGCCAAATTCGAAGAAGTGTTAAAATTCATCGAACTGTTTGATGGTATGTCTATTTTGCTTTTTCATAATAAATATATATAAAGATTCTTGTTATCAAATAAAAATAAAAATCTAAATAAAAGGCATATAAGAGTAAATAATCAATAAGACTTAAATATAAAATATAGACATATAATAATGCAATTTCATATAATTCTTTCTAATGTCTCGATGGTCTAACAATAATTACATGTTTGGGCTTCTTGCTTTTTCGTATATATGCATTTTTATGTCTAATATAATTATGTTTTACGATAGATTTCAAAAGTAACCTGATAACTCGCTACACCCAGTACGAACCGAACGGTGATTTCCCTCGTTTAAGAGAGACATTAGACTATTTTAAGGTAAGCGTTTACTTTCGATTCTGCTGATTGCTTCTTCTTTTTATCTTATGTATTTGCAACATTATAATATTTCAGACCGCATTCGATCATGAAGAAGCTAAGAAGCAAGGCTACATCGTTCCAAAGAAAGGAGTTGACGCTGAATATGATTCAGTTCTGACTGAGCTTGCAGACATCAAAAAAGATCTAGACAAATACTTGGAAAAACAAAAGCAACATTTCGGCGTAAAAATAACGTTCCATGGAACAGATAGGAAACGTTATCAAATTGAGATTCCCGAGTCGCAAGTTAAGAAAGTCGGTCCTGGATACGAATTACAGTCACAAAGGAAAGGCTTCAAACGTTATTATACCGCCGAGGCAAAGGCAAGGATAATAATTCACATTTTTAATTCCAGAAAAACTTGTCAATAAATGTGAGAATAAAAAAAATTAAATGATCTTGATCATTGCAGGAACTTTTGACAAGACAAATGAATGCCGAAGAGCATAAGGACAAGGTGTTGAAAGATCTTAACAGGCGAATATTCGCGCAGTTCAGTGAAAAATACGATATGTGGCATGCGGCCGTTTACAAATTGGCCACCATGGATGTGCTCATCTCCCTCGCGGATTATGCGCGGAACGGCGATATGTGTATCCCGGAAATTCATGATGGATCCGATGGCGAGGTAACTGTATCGTAATAAATATAACTTGGGGTGTGTTCGCTTTACACGCTCACACGTAAGCACTCATCCTTGTTGCCTATCAAATGTTAAACGAGGACTAATGATGCTTACAAATTCTGTGAGTGTCAAAGCCAATGCATGCCTTTAATGATCACTTATTTATTGGAACAGCTATAGTGAACGTCATTTTTTTAGATATTCATCAAGATAAAAGACGGACAACATCCTTGCATCGTGTCTGACAACTTTATACCGAACGACACTTTATTGGCAACCGACGGTACCGCCTCTTTCATGATTCTGACGGGACCGAACATGGGAGGCAAATCGACTCTTATGCGCCAAATGGGCCTAATCACGATCATGGCGCAGATAGTAAGTCTCACGAGGAAAATACACGTGAGAAATATTACGGATATTACGACGTTAATAAAATATGAATTTCATTTTCTTGCGTAACTAGGGCAGCTACGTTCCAGCCAGCTCGTGCTGCATGACGCTGGTGGACCGTATTTTCACGCGGCTGGGCGCAAACGACGATATTTTGGCCGGCCAGAGTACGTTTTTGGTCGAGCTGAGTGAAACCGCTACAATACTGCAACGCGCTACACCCTATTCGCTGGTACTTCTCGACGAGTTGGGTGAGAAAAACTGCACATGCATATCAATACGTTCAAGACAAGTGTATCTATTATTGTCGTCATAACTTTCTCTTAAGATTATGTTACTATTTATTATCGCGCATTTTAATCATATCAAATTACTCTCCCGGTTGTAGTTTCCTTTCCTTCATCATAATTCAGATTTGATAGAAAATATTTCTTCATTGTAGGACGTGGCACGTCAACTTATGATGGTACGGCAATAGCGGCTGCGGTCGTTGATGCATTGACCAAGCTTAAATGTCGTACATTATTCTCAACGCATTACCATTCTCTAGTTGAAGATTATAAAACTAACGAAGAAGTCACGTTAGCTCATATGGTGAGAAATTTCGACATATTTCAAATAGATCATTTTCATTCAAAAGATAGCATGGAAAGTAGTTTTATACTGTTATAGTTCGTTACATATATTTATTAATCTTGGTATAACGTATTTTTAAGAAATTCTTGATGCACTTTAAATTTTTTTCAGGCATGTATGGTGGAAACTGAAGAGGAAGAGGAAGTGTCGCAAGAGACCGTGACGTTTTTGTACAAGCTCAGCGAAGGGGCATGTCCGAAATCCTACGGATTCAATGCCGCTCGATTGGCAGGCGTACCGTCTGTAATCACAAAGAGAGCTCACGAGATAGCTAGTAGGATGGAGCAGGAAACTAATCACAAGCACATCTTTAATGCTCTTTGCAAAGCCAACGGTGTCAGAATGAGAAGTCTCATTGCTACCATTTAATGTCTCGAATATAGTATTACGGTAAAAATACTCATTATAATTATCTTTGAAAAAATTGTTTGGAAAAAAGCGTGATTACTTTGCAAGGATTTATGAGTTGTACAAAATGTTCTTAAGCGATTATCTATCTATGAATATGTAAAAACGGGCATTATATGTACTTACCTTTTTCTTATGTATTTTCAAACAGGTATCAAGCTGCGCTCCAAGTAACTTATTGCATTTTTAATCTATATAATAACAGTATTTGCTCCATATAAGAATTTAATACATATTGTAATGCTTTATCCATTGTTACACATACACATATATAAAAACAAAGCCAAATCATTACTTTTGTTTGATTGCTTAATGTAATATTCGCTTAATGTACTATATATTGATAATTCTTGTTTAGTATGTACTTAATTTTGTAATTGCGTTACGTGTTTTTTACGTTGATTTATTTTCACAATAAAAACTATCACAAATGTACATTGCAGACGTACGATTTAAAGTTGCTTCGATTCTTTACGGCTACAATTTGGGAAGGAACAAGGCGGCGGCGATATCTTGCTTACAAAATTTTATTAATCATTGCCAGAGTATAAAAAGACTACTTATGATGAGTACGAAAATGCATTGTGTTACAATGTTTACTCACACCAAACAACCGCGTAAGAAACTTTGCGTGGAAAAAAGAGAAACGCTAATACATGTGCACGAGCTCTTTACTACGAAATAAATACATTAGATTATGCAGTATGATAGCTATCGTAAGTGAAGAGAAGCGGGGCAACAGGCGGACGATTTCGTCACCCGGTTGAAAAGAAGATAAGTATACAATACCGATAAATAGATAAATAATAATAGTTTCGCGAATAAATCTGACAAGGGAACCGTCGGAGCTGTCCCTCATCGATTTTGATGGGCTTTGGATATGTTGTAGAACATAAAAACATATTACACTCATATTTTTTTTTATCAGTGTATCTCAAGGTTTAGGGAGTGAAATATCTTCTTGAAAAATATGGATTTTATCGTTTGTAGCAAATATCTTCAAAACTGTGCGATATATAAATAAATGTTTAATACAAAAGTTATATGGTATTTTGTGCTCTATATAATAGTGTATTTATTTTTTTTAATATCAAATTTTTTAACTCTCCCATCCCTACTCATTAATTTTGCAGAATTAAAAAATTTTATATGAGCAAAAATTAAAGAACCAAATTCGAATGCCACATTTATTTATGTATAATAATGTTTCCACGATTCAATTTTTGAAAATTTTGGAAAAATCAGATGATAACCTTGTGCTATATAACCGCGATGTAGATATTGTTATTTCTTTTTAATTATTCTGTACTTGAAAATTGTGCATATTTTCTTATAATACAATAAAAAAAATGAATTAATCTTAATGATATATATCAACTTATTACACGAAGTTACGCTATAAGTATAGATGAACCTTGCAATAATATATACCTTAATACAATAATAATATAATATATATATATATATACTTTACTCTTATATTATAAGGTATATTCTTCCAGAAGTTGTAGTACTGTTATAGTACTGTTGAAGCAGCAATATCAAATGAATATAAAAGACAAGTCGTGGAATACTGGAAAAGCGGCAAAACCAAACGAAAATCGCTTAAAGGAGTTAGACAAAATTTAAAAAAGTTACATCGATTCGACAACTACGACGATAGAACCAAAACAAGGTGAAAGTTGTAACAGAAATGAAAAATTAAAACAAATCTCTGAATACACATTAAATGAAGCACTTGAAAGGGAATAATTATATATGATATAGACATCGCTCAATAGACTTCTCGAGCACAAGAAAATGCACTAGGATTTAAAGCCTCAGAAACGTGGTGAGAAAATTCAAAATTGCACATAATAGTGTCTCGAAAAATAACAAAATTTATAACAAAAAAGTCTTTGCTATCAAAAGACGGTTTAGAAAATAAGTGTGATTGATGACATTTATTGAAAATGTAAAATATATTCATCGCTATGGACAGAAAAATATTCAATTTGGATCAAAGTGGATTCCATATTGGAAATGCACTCTGATCTTACCTTATAACATAAAGGTGATAAAAGTAGAAACTGTAATACACAGTCTATATCAGTAACAACGCACAGTACACTATACAGACTATTTCCGCCAATGATAGATTATTATCGCCTCTTTTTGTAATATTAAGAGAAGTTATAGGAACATTTGGTCCAAGAGTACAGGAAAATATATTCAACGTAATCTAATATTTTCATTACGGCTTCTACATCAGGTAAATTAACATCAAATCACATAAAAACTTGGTTGAAAGAAGTATTTTTCCCGAATATCGGACCACAATCAATATTACTATTAGACTCGTGGAGTGAACATTGTCCCAACATAATTTCGGAAACTAACAGGAAAGATACAGCCATTAGATGTTTATGACTTCCGATTATGGAAAAATTTTTCTGATACCATTATTAATATATAAGTTTATTACAGTTTTTTAAGATTAATTTGGGAAATTTGGGGGGATTATTACAATAATATTTCAGATTGATTGTGTTGAAAGTCCGGCAACTATACTGGCACGCAATCATTTCTGAAATTAATTCATTTATATGAATATATTATATATAATAATTCAACATCTTAACATTCAGACCGCGTTTCTTATTTAAAATAATAATATCATTATATTATTGTTAGATCTTTTGCAATTTATCTTCATGCTAGAAATAATATCTTGAAATTGCAATCATTAATGCATCATCAATTCTCATCGCCTAAGTAAAAATTTATTTAAATTTGCATGATTGAAAAATGGATATATACTGAGTAGACCTGGAGAGTTTAAAACACCAGTTGAATTTTATTTCCAAAGTGACTTAAAAGTAAAATGCGATCTTTATGGCGGAACTGCAATAATTATGTGCTCTTGATGTAAAAAAATCGCTTTGTATAACTTTTTTTATGACCATCACCTTTGTAATGAATATGTATTATAAATGTAACATATTATTTGTTTATATATAAATTTCTTTTATATATAAGCTTTATATATATATAAAGTTCTTTTACATATTATGACGTTACTGTAATTCTTTAGATTATTATAACAAAATTTATATCTTATTACATTTTTTTAAGCATACTGTATTTACACATGCCTGCAGAAATATGTGTAATGATGACAGAATGATTAATAAAAGGAAAAGGAAAAAAGCATTCTAATTTGCGAAAGAAAAGAAATAATAACACCTACAGCGGCACCTACCTATAGCACCTACCTATAGCAATGTTATCATCTGGTTTTTCCAAAAATTGAATCGTGGAAACATAACATTATTATACAAGAATAAATTCGGCATTCGATGCTCTTTAATTTTTGTTCGTATAAAATTTTTAAATTTTGCAAAATTGATGAGTGGGGATGGGGGAAATTTAAAAAATTTAATATTAAAAAAAATAAATACACCATTATATAGAGCACAAAATACCATAGAACTTTTGTATTAAACATTTTTTTATATATCGCATAGTTTCGAAGATATTTGCTAAAAATGATAAAATCCATGTTTTTCGAGAGGATGTTTCACCCCCCTAAATCTTGAGATACACTGATAAAAAAAATATGGATAGAATATAGAAAAAAAATATTTTCTATATTCTATAACATATCCAAAACTCATCAAAATCGGTGAGGGACGGCTCTGACGGTTCCCTTTGAGAGCGATAAACCCCCATTCTGCGTTATCGTCACATTCTTTTCATTCGTTCCATTCAAAACCGAGGCTAATCTCTCGCGAGCAAAAACGAAGCTCCGGTCTTTCTTTGAATGTTCGCGCGAACGGTACTAATATGATCGAGAAGGCACGGAGAGATTAAGAAAGCACTTGAAACTTGGTTTCAATGAGTTATACATAGTACATTTTTATTTCTCGAAATAACATATTCCTACTTCTAATGTACAATTCCGAGATCTCCATTTCGCAATTTCATTTGTCAAACGTGCTGCTATTTTTCAGTCCATTCCTCTCACGTTCTAGATCTAGTCGTTCACGACTCAAATTCTTCATCTTTCTCTCTCTCTCTCTTTCTCTCTCTCTCTCTCTCTCTCTCTTCCCCCTTTTTTAAAAATATCACGGTTACTCCATTCAAAGTGGTCAATTATCCCAAATAAACAATGTTGTTCTTGTTTTTTCCCAATATATCTCTTCGATGTTTGGCAGAATTGATTGGCAACGATTTTTTCCCTTTGTCCTCGATCCTAATCAATGTCGCATATTTTGTAGCAATCGCAGATTCTACGATCTCGATACTCTTTTGTATGCGTGAACATATTATTGCCCTTCATCTCGAGATGGGATTAATGAACTGACATGCAACACTGGAAACGAGCAAAACGCCGCGGTAAACGAAACAAATCGCGAATAAAACGATGCAATGCTCTTACTTATCAAAGTCTGCAAACATTTTGAAAAACGATGAAAACATCGAAACATTTGAGTCGAGTACCAATAAAATTGCATATCGTAAAACATTGCATATAATTTTCGAGTTATATTATAATTTTACGATGAGATTATGATTGATACAGCAAAAGACATTTATCAGTAAATATTTTAAGAAAAACTAAATGCTAATTTCTTGTCCTTTTTAGATTCATCGTAGAGCGCTAAATCGCAAGTCCCAAATGCAAACTTGTCTTCTTTTTAAGTTTATCTAAAGTTGCAAATCTGTGGCTATCCACTGACAAGATATTATTGAAGATCGACAATCGTGGAGGAGTCGTATGACTTTTAAAATTTAAACAATTAGCCCATTAATATAAATATAATATTAATTTTATAATTCATTATTATCCAATGTTTTTTAGACGCATATTATTTACAGCTTGTTAACATGATATTCCGTGCATTATCCTATTTGTGATACAATACATTATAAGTACTTATTTATGCAGGATTTATATAATAAAAAAGTCATGTAATAGATACATTATTTAAATATTAATATGATAGATACATTATTTAAATATTTATATCAATAACATCGATAATATCGATACTCTTTCCAATTACTTCTTTGATGGCTACGAAAATTTACTCAGGGCTGACTGTTTATCATCTTGTCAGTGATATACCTATGTTAGATATTTTCTTACGTATATTTTTTTTTCAAATTTTTGACGAAACTAGGCGCCTTTTGTGATTACTCCTGACAAATATTTGTATTAACTTGAAACGTTTATTCGGTTTACACATTTTTTCGTTGATTTCACTGGCTGTATTGAACCCGTATTGGAAAGCGGGAATACATATCAGTGAACGGGAGCCATAATAAAAGAAGAAAAAGAAAAGTATATTCTATTCTTCGCTTATTCATATGACTTATTATATGTAAATCGTTCGCCGATAAGGAATCGCGCTTCTTGAGGATTTATTACTCGTGAATCGCTGATGCGGTACGGCGTTCTAGCCGGAGATGTACGCTTTACGCGTGATGATCGCTTTAACTACCTTTATACAGTTACGCAATAAAGTCCATGCTATGTAGTTGTTGACTGAAGGATCGGTAAGTTACAAGGAACCCATTGACCCTCGTATGCGTCATCCACGCTGAGAAATGCTGCGGAAGCTTAAATATCTGGAAACATTTTTGCTTCCATCCTCTCATTCTCTATTTTTTATGCAATCGATCGCGCAATAATTAATCTTTCGCGAAATAGAATTCGTATGTCATGAGATTGAAATTTAAAAAATTCAGGAATGTACCTAATCTCGATAAATTTAAATACATAACCTCTACCGTTCGATCATTGGTCAGACGCGACCAACTGCTCGTTTCTGTGTTGCGAATTATTGAGGAATTAACATATCCACGATTTTGTCATTACTTTCATCCGCCCTTTCATTGAACTCTCTTGGCCCCGACAATAATAGTAAGTAGTACTGAACATCGCTGTGAATGTTTTCGTTTGAAAGAAGCGATTCATCATCAGCGTGTGTTCCATGTGAAATCAATTTTATTGTTCTCTCCGAAGGCCGAAAGAGTTACTTCGAGAATCAAGAAGCCTAAAAATTCGTTCTTACTCTTCTCTGTATATTTCCTTGAATTAGTACAAAGCAAAAGAGAGTGATGTGTAGCGTTAATCCACTAAAGCCCATAATTTATTATCTTGCCTCTTTCTATTAGGTATCTCTAGAAAAATCATAGAAAAGATATTACTCGTCGCTGTACGGATAGACGGTGGCAAAATAGACTTCCGTTTAGAATACTCTACGGATGACAATTAGAAGGCTCTCTAGATGGATTTGCGGGCTTTAATGGGTTAAGAGTACAGGGCCGAAAGAATTAATCGAGATATTCCCCTTCGGAAAAGGGGGGGAGGGGAGCGGGATACAACCCTCGTTGGCGACGTCACTCTTTACCAGAGTCCGGATGAATAGCCACCGGGTGGGACGCGAGCGCGCGTCGGTGGCTTTGCCGTCGCCGGCGACGTGTCGTTCGACTTCTCGCCGCTGTTGCTGGAATTCGAACTGGCTGTTCCGTTCTGCATGGCTGGTCCGTTCTTCTGCGACTCGGACGCGTAGCCGATTCCGGTCACAGGATTGCCATCTGTGGAAACGATTTTTTTATTAGTAGAATTTGTCGCGAACGAAGCTCGATTTCTGATATTTTTCAAATCTGCCCAACTATTTAATCGTCTAGTATTTTCTTCTAGTATCGCGAGCTTCCTGTTCGATGACCGAGTGAAAAATTAAGTAACAAAGGCAAATAATCTGCTGTATGGTTTAATTAATTGGCTGGTATTCACACTCCGTACTCTTTGTTTTTTTCAAGCTCTTAGAGTAATCTTAAGATGCTAAAACGACTCTGTAATTGGTTTTTAACATTTTAAGATTGTATTTAAGACGGTCTTAAATATAAGAACGGACAATATATTTCTCTCTTTCTCTAAAACTTAGTTGTTGAGATTTAAAATTAATCAACATCTAAATTCCATTAATTGCGAATGAAAGGAATGTGCAAAGGTACAAAATGTTAAATTAAATACATTTTCATGAAACTTTCACGTCTTATTGGATTATAAAAATCTGATGAAAAGGCTTGGTAATTATGCAGTAATGATTTTATGTATCAAAACGAACCTACAGATCCTACTTTTCGAAATTTAGAAAAATGTTAACTAAAAAGACCAAGGGCCTGCAGACGCACTGCGAAATTTATAAGATCAAAGAATTGATAAGTGGAATCGAAAAGAACGAAATGTTGTTCGAAAGAACGATACAATTCTATGTTCCAAGTTGCTATTAATATAGACTCTCCTGGTATCATCACTGCACAAAATTCTTTCACTAGTACGATTCTATTAGCATTTTCGACCATAGTGGATTTTAACCGATCTGAGTTGAACGCTCTATTATTGGTAGAATATATTCATTATCATTTTATCTTTCTTTAATATTCGATAAACAACAAGGACAAAATAATATATCATGCACCTTATGTGTGAAACGGAATCCATCTTAATAGTAAAGCGTGTGACGTCATTGATTCAACTCAAATTCAAACCTACTACGGCCGAAAATAGTGAATGACTTAGTAGAACGTTTGATAAAAGTTTCATAAATGTTTACTTAAACATTTTTAACTAAACTTCGCATATTCTTTTCGCATTAATTATTTCTAAGACACTCCATACAGAATTTGCAGTAATATCACTGCAAAATCTCTGCAATATCACTGCAATATGCAATATTGCTGCAATGTTGCAGCAGTGTTGCTACAACTTTTGTGCAACTTTATGCTGTAGGGGATTCACTATTTTCCAATACAGCTCTAAGTTACGTTCTGTTCGGACATTCACACGTTACTAGCGCTCAAATAGAAGCTGCGTGATTTTATTCATATTATGCAATTATAATTAATAATTATAAATCAAATATTTATTAATTTTTTTTTGTTAAATTAAATATTTGATTTATTTTTTAAATAACTTGCATCGCGTTATTTAGAGAAAACAGAGGTTCACGAAAATAGAGGTATACGATCGGTTCTGTAACACATCAATAATCGTACTATAAGTAATATAAAAACGTTATATAAAATTCTAGCCGTAAAGACAGATACATATGAGAATATATGAAAAATTGAAGAGCACGCTACGTTTCATTTCTACATACATTAACGGACACATGAATTTCTGACATGCAAATAATTCAGAGCGTAGGAATTCACAATTAATTCATCTATTCGACTGCTCTCATCCAATGTAACATCTACTGCATATCTGAAGAAGGCTCAATCGAGCGAGTTAATCGACGAGACTGAAACATGTTATATTTTTAATCAATTATAGAATATTTATATTAATACATACTTTTGATATTTCATGTTTTAAAAATACTTCTTTATGTTTGATTTTTTTTATGTGCCCTTTATTCTCTCGTTATTGACAATTAATTCAGTTTTTCCTCTCAAAGCAAAATATTGCACAAAAAATGGCAGATGAAAGATTACATAACTTTGAAGGGTTAATCTTAAAGTGAGATTCCCGAACTCTGACGAGATCGCTGTTTTACTGATATAATGCAAAACATCGACATATCTTTATATACTACTATATTAATCTCACGCACACATATATAGGATAAAAGTAGCGGAATCGCTGAATATTTCGGAAAATGTAAGTTTTACAGGAAAGTGTTTCAGATAAAAGTAGGACTTAAAAAGATTTTTTTACTGATCTTATATTATAGTTTAATCTTGGATGGCGCCGCCAAGATTAGATCAAGATTAAGGGAATGCTGGAGCCGCCTATATTACCGACAAAACTAGCGTTTTTAACGTTTTTGTTCCTGTCAAATTTTTTCGTAGTAATTTCACAGAATAAAAATTCCTTTTCTACGATTAAAATGTACATGCTAATGTACTTGTCGTTGGTGTATTTTGTGTTCAAAGCTGGAAAAAATAAAAAAATTGCATTAACAATACAGACGGCTTCAGCATCCTCTTAAGTCGATTATTTAAATTAGAAATCTCCATTTTATTCATTGCATATTCTTGTAGCTTATCTCGAGAGCTTTTCAAAACACTATAAATATTATATTTAGCAGGATTTAATTTATAATTATGAAATATTAAATATTTTTATTTTCTATGAAGAAAAATATCTAAAATTGTTGCAGGATCATTTCATTTTCATTTGGAGCTGGCAAAATGTTAAATGTGTCACTGCAAGTAAAACATTAAGAAATTATGTCGCGTATGTATTAATAGATTTTGTCGTTCCTAACAGAAAGACGTTGACAAATTCCAAAATTCTGATTAAAACCCACATGCTACCGTTGTACACACACGCACACTACTACATAAATGCTTACAGAACGTAGTCCTCCACCTAATACACATTTTAGGACATCATCCCTCAACTCATACAATTATAACCACGAGTACAATCATGATTGTCGCACGAGTTGAAAGCTTATCTAAATATATAGAGGGATTAGGAAATGGTAAGGAGTTGCTTAATCTTACAGGCGATTAAGCACACAATTCAATCGTAAAGCCATTGTACAACAAATTCGTATGTTGTCTATAAACCGAATTAACACCTGTAATGAACTACGAGAAGACACAACAATATATACGATGCTACTTATTTATTATTATGCTCTAGCATGAACTTACCGTAGCATCCCGCAAATACTGGGATGCGAGGTGATGACTGAAGACTCGCTTAGCAATACCTTGCCGAGTTCACTTACGTTTGAATATCGTCTAATTTTTTTCTAAACGACTTAAGCGAGTCTCCAATGTAAACTCAAATAAATCTAAATTTGTTTGAATTTGTAGTGAATTAAATTAAATATGGGAAATAGGGACAAATAACGCGAATTCGCTAACGCTTTAATCTTATAAATTATCTTTAATATCCTTTGTTTCGAAACTTTTTTTATATTCTTTTTACACGAAAGATGATCTCATTACTTTTAACTTGAAATTATTAATTGTTCAAGTTTTATCAACTGTGTATTATCATTTGCACTCAGAGAGAAAAAAAAACATAATGATAGCAACTATAAATATAAGTCACAACTATACAAGTTTTATCTGTAGGATTAATGTATACATATTTGAATAAACTATTTTATAATTATTGCAACTAAAATTGAATAAAGTTATAAATTAATAAGTTTTTTGCATGTAATCAATTATATAATTATTAAATTATATAATCCAATTATATAATTATTATAATTCTACATATAAAACTTGCACAGTTATAACTTAATTGTCATTATTATAAAAAATATTCTGTTCTCTCTGAGTGTACGATCGCTAAATGTATTTCTCTGTGACGAGCGATGGTATGCCGCAGACCGTATTAAATGCTGCAATTAAACAACGCGAAAGATACATAACGGTACGCCACGTTTATAATTCTGTAGCGTTCAATACAGGATTCGCTATGTTCAGAATCTCGGTTGCGAGAGAATGTTTCTATGAATCAAAATACCTTTATCTATCACGCGTTGCAATTCTCGATTCAATGCAAGATTGCAGTCAAGCCTCGTTGAACGCTCGCGAAAAAATACGCGTGCTCTTAAACTTCCTTCGTATAAATATTTATTGTTGAGGTGTGTGTGTTCGTATAATTATTATTTCTTATAATTATTAAAACGTTGTTATCGCAATTTACTAATTGAGAGGGGGAGGAAGGTAACGAGGTTTTACTTATACTATTACACTTACAATTAGCACGAATTTCAGTGGATATATTCAATTGTTAATTCCTGCTTTAAAACAGAACTCTTGCATGTAGTAATTAATTTGTTCCTTCATTCAAACGTTCGTGTTCGAAAAATTAGCTTGATTGCCTAAGAATCTGTGCAACTTGAGTTTAATTTGAACTTAAATTTAACTTATACTTTAAGTTAGAATACTTAATTTAAAATTCTGAAATATCTTTCATACAAGAATGTCATAAAAAAAAAATTAAGATGGTTCTTTAGTAAAGTGCTGAAAATTTGGGGTGCCTCAGCAGAGTCCACCCAAAATTATAAATATCTGCATAATTTGGATAAAATATTAAAATACGTGTACATCTTAACGAAATAATATGGAACGTATGATAGTAAATTAAAAGCTATATTTTTATCCAATGAAAACAAGAGATTGTGTTTACTTTTCGAGGTTAAAGGACTATGCCCAGTTTTATAGAATTTTGGCCCCTGATGAACAACTTTGACATACCTCAAATTTTAAGGTATCAAAAAAGAATAAAAAATCCCATAAGTCCAACTTTATAGGAGAGATTTCCTGAGTGTTAGAACTATCAAATGTTTGCTATTATGACCATGTACCATTAATCTTATCCAATTTCTCTGCGTCCAGGGCACCTCCCCGCGGTGACGACGATAACGGATTGTATCAAAGACATTGAAGTAACATCTAAAATGTATTTGGTACAGTTCATTAATCCGGTTGACAGTTATATGGCATCTGGGATATGCCCAACACTTTGACGAAGATATCCATATACCAGCAAGAATAGTTAATGATATTTTTTTACTTTTAGAGAGTTCTGATGAGAAAGCTGAAGAGAGATAAAGTCCATATATTGGCCATATTTTAATTAGGTAATTAAAACCTTTTGTTTCGTACTTTGAGTGTCTCTCTCCCCTCTTCATCGATTAATATATATCACTCATAACTATTCATTTGGGATCCAAAAAAGGTTTTAGTTGTCTTCGTTAAAATTGGACATATTCTAGATACTAGATGATTCAAGAAATCGAATAAAACTAATCCTACATGGTACACAATACATGGTCACAATAGCAAACTTTGAACAGTTGTAGTACTCAAGGGACTCATTTTACAAAGTTGTGCATATGGAACTTTTTAATCCTTTTTTTAACCTCTACAATCCTAGCTAGGTTTCAATGTTCAGCCGAGACTCAAACTGGACATAATACTTTATATGCAGGTTTATGCACGTAAATATCTTTCCAGAATGATCGTTGATCTATTACTTTTTTGTGTAATTAAAATCATAATTTTGTAAACTATTATAATCTCGTTTTTGAGAAAAGTCTGTGGTAAGATTTGTGTGCAGTTAGTCAAAAAATCTGCGAACCTTATCTGTCATTGAATTATATGTGAAAAGTTACATTTTCAACATTTTTTTCCTCTCTTATTTCATCGTTAACCTATCGTAGAATTTTGTACACGTCAATTTCGGTACTTCATTATAAAAAAATTAGACATTTCTATGGTATAATTCGATTACTAAAGAACCACCTTACAAAGGGTCACTTAAGCCTCAAGTTACTCACTTACCACTTACTTAGAAAATCGTATACATATATAAAATTATTTGGCGACTTATATTTACTCGTTGTTAGGCTACATATTTTCGTCGGCTATCTCGAGACACAAATAATGAAATTCCGCAAAGGCAGAAATCAGATGAGGATCGAGACGCGTATCAGCGTATATCGCAAAAAGGGGATTAAGCGTAATACGTAGTGTTGGAAGAATCAGATAATTAGTGAACGTTACCTCGATACTTTCGTGGGATGCGCCTCACGGGCGTCACCTCGATTCCGTCTCCGGTAACTGGGTTGCGCGTCGGCAATCCTCCTGTCGAGGGGATGCGGCGACGGGGGTGGCGGTTTGCGCACCGTTTGACAGCCCACGTTTTCGCCGCCACGTGCGCGCGAAACGACGTGCGTAAGAACCCACAGAGCCATTTCACCCCATGCACCGTAACATCGTCGCAAAACCCACAACCGTAACCCAACCAACTTGTGTTAATACGCCGCAATTTGTACGGACGGATCGCAGATACTGTACTATTTTGTCCCTTCTCGAAAAAATTATCGAGACTTTAAGTCAATTTCGTATACTCTATATTGTGAATATCTTTTATATTGTTTATCTAAACTGTATAATAATTTATTATGTTGTGTGTGTGTGTGTGTGCGCGCGCGCGCATATATATAGAATGTCCCAAACTTTTTGAAGCACCATTCGTAGACAGGTAGACCGGACTAAACTGAGTCGAAAAGTCCTGTATCATTTTGCAATTTTCGCAATAATTAACGAAATATTAATTTCTAAAGAGTACCGAATAAGCGGATAAAATCGACGAATAAAACAATTTTAAGATATCTTTCAGAATTCTTTATGAAATACCTTAAAATTTAAAGATATTTCTTAAAGAATTCTTAAAGATATCTTAAAATTGTTCTATGTGTTAATTTTAGAGAATTTTTTCGATTCAGGAAATTCTAGAAGTGTTCATCGAATTGATATTGAAAAACTCGAGGAACACTTTTGGGACTTCTCTTGTTAGTTTAGTTCGTTCTACTTGCCTTTGGTGAGTCAAAAAGTTTGGGACATTCTGTATATATAACATCTTATTTTAAAGTTGTTTGTGACATCAAGCATTTAAGTTAATAATTCGGTGTCTATTATTGATTAAAGAGCCTGTCTATTATTGATTAAATCTCCGATATCTTGGATTCGTCCGTACTACAAAATTAAGATAAAAGCAAAACAGAAATGGTGTGTGTTATGCTCAAGTTGTGAAGGAAGGTAGATGAATATTTACATAGCAACAAAAATACAGAAACAGTAATGACATCGTGAGAAAGCAGGACAAAGTAGCACGCGTGTAATGCCAATTATGAAAAAGAAAAACTTTGCCATATTTCTTATCACTACCAACAATGTATGTATAGATATACCGTCGGAATCTCTTTCTGATATTAATATGCTGGTGTTATCGTGAAAAAATGTTCCCGCGGTACCGTTCCTGCTTTTGTTAAACGGATCGATGGTTATTGCAATTAAAAGTAAATGTATTGTCATCGAATTGTTTTGATGATGCACCTGTCTGCGAAAATTCGTGAATGACATCTCGCAAACGACATCGAAATATTCTTTTCTTTGACAAAGGGTTCTTTTGACAATCTATCTTTCAAACTGGATGTCAAGTTACAATCAAGAGAACAGATCTATTTATATTTCAGGGAAAAGTGTTTGTAACTACAATTACATAATAAAATAATTGTGGTTAGAAACTCCCTTTTTATAATTATTACTAGCATTACAGCGTAATGCTAGTAATTATAATTATATATTTATAATTCTAACATATAATTATATTGATAGTTTGTAATCATTTTCGATATTAACTAAACTTTTTTAAAACTATAAATATAATTATTGTCTAATATTATAACAGTAATAATTATAAAATTGGAGCTTCTGACCATATTTATGACCATACAATTGTAGTCAAATACCAAACACTTTTCTCTCAATGTATTTAGTATCTAGAGACAAGATTGATGACATAAAATAATAATTTACTTTAAAAATTAATAACATAATTACAAACATAAATTTCCGCCATAATTTGCCGCTCCTCAATGTCGTTTACTACAAGTTCATCACAAGTATGCGGGAAACAATATAAATTATAATTTAATGTAAAGCAAGATGTAATATATTACTAGCAGAATGTACGATATAAACTTAAGGCCTAAGCGGAAATATGGCATGTCTAACTCAAAATATGTGTTCCTACTTTTGTGGCAGGCCCTGAAATAACGTGATGAATTCTTTACGAAACCCACGACAAATCAAACGTTTCTTTCATCGTAACAGTCACGGTTCAATTTTTTCCATGAGAGCTTCTATCATTTTTTTTTTCGTCGAGAGAAATGATTCTCGAGCAATTTTCCGAGTCTAATCATGATAAAAAAAGAAAGTGTGGTAGTGTCGTGTGTCATCTACTTGAATGTCTCGTTACACACTTACGAAATCGTTTCTTTCTCCTAAAAGCTGCTTGTGAACAGTTCAAGGAAAGTGACATATATTAAAAAAAAAAGAGCGGTATACATTAGTCAGTGATATTCATTTAGAATCCTTAGTGTCTCGCTAGCTCCGTATCGACGGGCCGAAAATTGACTCGGCGATAACTCGGTTTGTTTGCGCAGAAAGAAAAGAGCGTATCGATTTCGCGCTCGACCAAAGAACTTTCGCCATTAATCTCATTAGGCATGATTTTACAAATAAAAGATCGGTTTTGCACTATCATTAAATATAGTATATTTTCAATGTAAGTAAAGTATTCGCGTCTATAGCGTAATCGAGATAACGAAATCTTTAATCTTTCTTTACGAGAGAATCGTTCTCAAAAAAAGCAAAGTTTCTCTGCGCGTGTATTTTTAATAAGCGTGAACTTCTAGAGATCAAATACGGTTTCCGATGAGAAAGTTACTTCCCGTCGTGACAAGAGCGTGATAATTAGAACGGAAAGCGATTTTTAGCGCCAAGAGCCTGCGACACACATATTTCAATTTAGATCAAGATCGTCGTCCCTTGGCATATTTTATAGAAAGGAGCACCACCTGAATGTGGAAACAGTTTAAAAGAGTCCCGGGGCGGATCTGTACATTTTCAAAGACAGTCATCTTTATCTAATCCGACTTTGTCGAATATTCGATATTTCAAGGTAAATCATTTACAACAGTTCCATAAATTAAGACTTCTTTATGCATCTTACTGCTATCTTAGATTGTGATGTTAAAAGCAAGAAAATACAATAAAACTTCTCAAATTATATTTGAACAGAAATCATTTTAAAGCAACATTTGCAATCGATAGAATAAACTTATAAAATAAATCAAAAACTACCTTTTGTTTAGGGAAGAAATTAAATAATATTTATTTCCTATATACATATGGATGATTCAGAACAACTTCCGGTTTCTGACTTAATTCTAACAAGGAAAAGCATCTAACTTAGAAATTCAAAATATTATTGAAATATTATTGAGAACTTTGGCAATAAGTACATAAGATATTTCAACGTGTAATAAACAATTTTTTTTGCTGTCCGAATTCATTCTAAAAAGTAAAATCAACTTTTAAAAGATTATCCCATTCTTCGTTTTTACTTTATTATTTGTCAATAACAGAAGATAGAACAAAATTTTAGAAAAAAATTTATTTTTTTTAATAAGATTTATAGATTAAACAAATTTTTTCAATGTTTAAAAAAATATATGAAATAGAAGCAATATATTCTCAATATTGATGACTTCCTACAATACTGGTTTTTCTCTAATACTCTATAAGATATTAATATGTGTTTTACTCCACCATATTTATAGTTAGTTGAAGTTAATTACTTCCGATATATAAAATATGTAGAAAAACCAGAATATATGGAGTTTACAGTGTCATATAAAAGTCAAATTGAATTCTCTTATAATGCAATAAAAAATAGACAGTTCTATTACAAACAGACAAGAATTAAGGTTTTACGAATTTTATTAATATTTATAATAATTAAAAAATATAGAAAATGATATCTTATGTTAATGAAATACATCTCAGAATCAACCAGATCTTTTCCATCCATGCAGTATATTTGGAATTGTCTCTAACTTTTCTCCTTATTGTCACCGCGACACCGTCTTTTTCTTTTCTAAAATCTATTCCCTATTTTTCTGCAGAGGTTTAATTGAATTTGGATATATAGAGAACTATATAATCTCTAACAGTTTTGGAAACGATGTTCGATCCATATGTAGTGACATGACAATGCTGTTCACAGGACTTGCAAATGCTAACGCTATCTTGGAAAGAACATTGATAAGACGCAGTTATCATGAAGCTGCAGATAGCGCTAAGAAACATAATCATGACGTCATTAATAGTAGCATTTTAAATAATACTATTAATGACGTCATGATTATGTTTCTTAACACTATCTGCAGCTCCGCAAACTTTAGTTTGTAGCATTAAATATCGCGAATAGCGTCTCTCCCGAATACACCCTATTTTTTCTTTTAATTCAAAAACTAAACCTCGGAAATACCAAAATTTTGGTAGAGGAAAAATCGTCCTAGAATCATGTAGGAATACTTTTCAACGACACCGGGATTGTGTTCTAAATCACCCCGTAATATATTATTGATTTTCAGTACATTTACAAGTCGGATCTATCGATTGCAAATGTCATTTTAAAATATATTTTCCATAACACACACACATATAAACATATATATAAACATATTTTGCAAAAAATTTTTATTGTGTATTTTTTTCACTCTTGATATTACGATCTAAGATAGCAGTGATGAGTGAAAAGGTGGTAAAGTTATCAATAAAATTGCAAATTTATTTCAAGTAAATTATTCCGTCAGATATAATGTCATAGGAGAGATACAGTGATTTAAAATATTAAATAGTTCTCAATATCATCGAATTGCTAATTTATAGATATCGTTAACGATATAACTAGATTCTACCGAGAAAAAGTAGACAGATGACTGCCGTTCACCCCGGGACAGACTATAACTTCGTTACCGCTTCCTCGTTCGCCACCGACTCTTACCTGTCATATCATTGGAAGAGTTGCTGCCGTTGCTGGCATAGCCGTTGGCGATGCCTGATGTCGAATTGTTGCTGGTCGTGCTCTTCGCGGGCGACATCGCGGTGCCCGACGATAGCGACGAGATCGACGATCCCTCGCTGAGGGGAATATTGCTGCGCATGTGATTTCTCGCGTTTGGGGTGGATGGGGCATCGGGGGGGCCAAACAGGCGTTTGTATGAATCATTACCGGGCTTGTTGCTGCGAGGTGACACAGCAGCGGTCGCGTTGTCGGTGCCGTTGGTATCACCGAAGAGGGCCGAGCTCAGCTGGGACTGATTGTGGGCCTTGATGCGCCGTGGGCTCGTTTCTTCCGGGGCCGCGCCGAAAATATCGCTGCTACCACCACCGGGCGGTTTCAACACCCTGAAATCCAAACAAAAGAAATGATAAACGGAAAGGAAACCGAGGAAGGAGAGATTAAAGATTTGAGACTTAAAAGTAAAAATTTTGGTCTGTCAGACAGTATCTCCGCGCTAAGAATATTTTTTATGTAGACTGTGGATTAAGTGCATAACACAATTTTCCTTCTTTTTATTTTTCCTTTTTCAAATTTTTTACACCTAGATATACATTATAGGGATGAGCGATGTTAAAAAAAAAATAACTCGAATGACAAAAAAAAACTTATTTTTAAAAACATTCGATTTTCCATAATCGAAAATCTCTAAAAAAAATCGATTAATCCAAAATGTTTTAATACAGTTTAATACTTAACTCTTTAAGAGGAGATTAATCGTTTTTGAAGATTAAAGAAATCGTTTTTTTTTCTTTTAACATTTGTTTAATAATTATTCGAAGATCTTGATTTTTAGTATAATAGTAGAATATCGAAACGCCGTTGCAGTGTTACTTTTCTGCAATTCCAATAATAAAACCTCAAAAAAATTCAAAATTTCGGGTTTTTTAAAGCAATAAAACCACCCAATTTTTTCAGGATGGGTAAAAAATAAAGCCACTGTGACAGGATTAATTTTATTAGCGGCAAGCACTGACAGCGGTCAAATCTACAATGGTGAAATCGAATTGGACACGAATATCCCGAGTTTCATCTCGATAAGCAAATACGCCGAGCACATAGAGAACGCAGACGATGCAATTTGCGAATGCAAACCCTGTTTTTTCGTTTAACGAGGCGCAATGCATGCGGCACGCGCATATTGCAGCATTGTCGCGTGCGCATGAAAGCTAAAGAGAAAAGGGTAAAAAAAGAAACTAGGGGGAATTAGCTCGAGTGATTAGGAATATGAAGCGCTTCCTTTTTCTCTCCGAAGTATTATACTTTGGAGAAGAGAAGAGAAAGGAGCAGGCGGGTTCAACTAGAAGCGTAATATCAATTAGGGAACGACGCGTGTTCTGTGAGTGTCCCCATTTTTTTAATCGCTCGTAGGATATTACCCAACTTGAAGAACAACTGCTTTTAGAATTAACAACGAAGCCAATTGAGTTATGAAGTAGCAATTAAACAATAAAATGACGGCTCAATAGAATTAAGAAATTTGACGATTTGTGTAACAATAAGTGACAAAGGAGTATCTTGAGCCAATGCATGTACATTAATAATTACACAAACATTTCGACTTTTAATCTGATCATTCTTAGTAGTAACAAAAATTTAAATCTCATCGCCATGTCATAACAAAAAAACGTTGATGTGCATAAGAAATGAATTATTCTCTTTAAAATTCTCCAAATACTCATAAGAGTATTACAATCAAAAATTGATTATATTAAATCATTTTCAATATTATTATGTAAAATATATAGATGCGAGGAATGCATAGATCCAAAAATATATAAGTACTGTCTGACATTTATAAACTGTGTCCAAAGTGTAGTATAAGAAAGCGTAATTCAAAATATTTCACTTGATTTGATGCATCTTCAAATCCAATATATTACACAACATTTAATTTATAGCGAACTGTTTCAAACAGTTAAAAATTATAAATTCTTATAACCTTTCTCCTCGAGATACAATAATAAATATCAAATACAATATAATTTCAGCTATCCACAGAGTGTAAAATCCACGCAGTGGAGAACACACACAATAATATTTAAGTGAGAGAAGAAGATTCGGAATCCAAAATGGGAAGATACGTCATTTTGCTTATTGATATCAATAGCTTGGGTTTTTTTTTATGGATCATCTCTCAGACACCATTCTTTTAAGATATGAAGGCTCATTATCTAAAATCGTAACATTCTCCCAATCAAATTCATGTTTTGCGACCATTCTATACTCTGAAATAACTGAGATACTATCATTGTTTTTTTATTAATATCCCTTCTGTATTCACTGATATTCATTTCTATCTGCCTCTTAGTCTGCTTTATATATGTTGCATCACACTCAAGACAATCAATCTTATCGCTACATCGCATTTAGACATCTTATCTTTTCCAGTTCCTATATCATGAACTTATTTAATTTATTAATGTGGTATGATAAATGCAACTTAACTATTAATCATTTTCGCAGCAATTGATTTATGATGACCGTAGTATATTAATTCTGTACATGACATTCAGTGTTGGCTCAAGATAGCCCTTTGATATTTAGTTAGACAAATCAAATTCTTACATGAAATACTTTACCAACAGAAAAATGACTTAAGTATCAATTCGATTAAATATTAGAATTACTTTACAAATTTAGTTTAAATTTATTAAAAAAATATATATATATGGACTGTTTTTAAAAAGTAAGATCTGTATCAATTTATACATAAAATCTTTTTCGGACTTTCTTAATGTATATCACATGCGTGAACACACATACACGCACGCACGCAAAAAACATTTTCGTGCTGAAGTGAGCAAATCTGCGAAATGATACTGCAGAATAAATAATCGTGCGTTGCACTCATTTCGGATTAACAAATGATAGTAAGAAATCATTAATTCGCGATCAAGGAAACGACGTTCCAGTTTAATTAATGACGCGCGGCCTTCATTGCGTGGCGTTGCATCTTGCGCGTTGCACTATCACGATGATGAATGGACGTTTCCGCGTTATTACATCTCGCTTGATTGCATATCAGAGAGAAGTTGATAGAAATGTCGGGGAGCCGTGCGCAGCTAGATTTTGCGAAATCTTCTGTTAGTTTATTGCAGCATCACTAATGCAGGATATATCTTTATCGAACACGCAGATTATTGAACATTAATTTGCAATCTCTCATTTCATTTCTTTTGAATCCCTCAATCAAGGTTTTACAACGTTATCTATATCCTTTCGTCAGTTTTATTTACTAATTACACTGTACGACGCATTTAAACTTTCTTTTTTACACCACGATCGGGACAAAGTGATTCTTACAGATTTTTTGTCGCTGAAAATGAATTATCGCATAAATGAAATTGCTCCTTCATTTTAAAAAAAACTCACTTAAAAAATTCATTTACAAAAATTAAAATTTAATAATATTAAATAATTAAATTTAATAATATATGTAAATAATCATTTAATATTAAATACCAAATAATACTAAAATATTATACTAATGTTATTATATTACACTAATACTCTACTATAAAATATACTATAAATAAAAAAAATATTTAATATAAATTAATATAATTTCCATGAAATTATTAAAATTTATGTGCGATTTTTCTTTCAACTATTTATTAAATTATATTAATGTACTTTTACAATTTCTTAAAAATGTCATTTCCTTGACAAAATTCTTAAGAAATTCTACAATAAATGATAAATATTTTGAGACCTCATACGATACGTCATACAATCTTTTTTTTTAGATTTTTTAGGAAATAAAAAAAATTATTTAATTTAATTTATTTTTGTTTTAATTTATAATCCTTAAAATATTAATCATAATTAAAAATTTCATTAATTTTTCTGAGCAAATTTACAAAAAAATCTACAATATGTAATGAATATTTTAACACTTCATATATGATGGAATAATTTTTTGTCAAAAAATAAATTAAACAAAAAATAGACCTAAAAAATGCAAATGCTCGAGAAAAACTAATAAAACAAAAAAAATCCACTTGGCTTTTTTTAAACCCTGATATAAATAAAAAAGGCTAGGATTTTTTGCAAATCTTGATATAAATAAAAAAATTTATATACTATATAGAAAAATTTGCGAAAAAAATAGTTCGCTAATCATTCGTCGCACGATTCAAATGTCTGAAAACTTGTGTAATAGACTGCTAAAACAATTATCGAGTCTGACTTACAGATAGAATTGCCAAATGTAATACCAACATTTCCGGAACATGTCTAAGGCGATATTCATAGTCAAAGGACGGTATTTATAGTTTGTTTTTATTTCAAGACTGTCTTAAGTAATATCTTAAGACGTTAATATGGCCCTCTGATTAGTTCGTGACTTCTCAAGACTGTACTTAATACGATTTTAAATATAAGATCTGACTACGAATACCAGTCAAAGTGTTTGAGTTAAATTTTTAGTTCATGGCTTATGGTTTATGTGGGAATAATACTAACTGAAAATTTAACTTAAATACTTTAATTATCCATTTTTCGACCATCAAAAAATTTCTGATTGAAAATAGATAAATTACACAATTTTTTGATTAAAATTAGAATTCTAGTTGAGATAATCGGAATTCTGGATATAATATTTCTGATAAATTCTTATTTTTACCAGAATAATTACATCAATCAGAACTCTAGTCATCTCAATTAGAATTCTAGTAGATTTAAAATATCTCCTTCAGAATTTAGAAAATGATTTGTTCATTTTAAACCAGAATTATTATTTAATGGCGACCCTACTTACAAATAAGATAATAAAACTGTAAATTAATAATACAAGTTCCTTATTATGTTATTATAGCGATTATACAATTGCAACATCAAGACACAACCTATCAAAATGATACTTATATATATAATAGATTACATTTATCATAAAAGATGTAAAATTACCGGTCCACCTTACATGCATTTACAGGGTTTAAAAGTACAGCTTGGTATTTTTATTACAAGTATACCATAATCTATCCTAGTATAAATATCGATTCAAGACGTGCCCTTCCTTGTTGCAATTTTGATGGCCAATGTAGTTACTTTCACATTTTTAATTTCCTATCTCTCACGCCTCGTGTTCCATTGTATCTCGGCGCCGCGCCATGTCAATACTCGTCGAGTGTGGTGCCCACGTTCCACGCGAAAGGTAGTCGCGAGACGAGAGTAACGAGGATAATCAATCGGACCCATAAGAAGCGGGTAATCCTGGAGGGGACAGGATGGGTGCGCCGGGAAATATGCGTGTATGACGTGTGTATAACACCTCTGCACGTCTAATCTATTAACGCGAGTACTCGCATTAATTGGGCCATCAACCTGTTTCGCGTCCAGAAAC